TGTGTACGTGACTGCGTGAGTTTTGACTATGGACGGAAGATGCGAGTGAGAAGGGTGCAAGGGTGAGAAAGACAGAGCGAATGGGGGTGTGTGATAAAAGCGAGTGGAAATGCGTGCATGGACACATTTTGGTGAGCGACAGCGGAGTAGAACATTTTTGGTGCGAGAGTCGTGTGTTGTGTATATTTTACGTGTTGTCCGTATTGTTTCCTTTATCTTATTAAATATATTATTGTTTTCTTAATTCTCTTTTTACTAAAGATCCACATTTTCAAATATCATCTAATAGTAAACCACCACCATATACTATAATATTGTTAATGAAAAATCAATTTAGAAGAATTTGCTAATTATAGGAACTACGAGAGTCTTTACTATTTCGAGTGTTGACTGTATGGCGATACCATTAAGTCACAATAATTGTCTACAGAGAAAAACCATTTCGACATTCTTTTTATAGAAGAAGGTACTTTTTATAGGTTCGAAATAGCAAAATAGTTTAAGTAAATATCTCTATAAATATCTATATAAATATCTATATAAATATCTCATTATTTTATTTTAAAATCTCTCGTAAATCTTTAAATGCGGTTTTTTAAACATAACCTATAACTTTTAATTTACTGTCTGTAGCCACATCAATTTTCTGTGGTATTAACGACTAAATATGTTTTCAATAATGTAGTTTTTATAATAAACTATTTGTAGTTTACGTAGTTTCTTACAAAAACCAACTATATCTTCTTTAAACTGACATGAAGATTACAATTATATTGTTTTTTCTTCAATCTTGTTTTATAATTATCTTAAAAAATATTAACTGCATTTGCCTACACCTTTCAAACACACATTCCACTACAGATATATTTGTCGTTATGGATAAAAGTATAGTTATTCTAATGTGACAAAAATCTTTATAGTTTACCAAAATTTTTATAGACTATGTATCTAATATTAAGAAATATTGAATATTACATTATTTCTTATCGACTATTTATTTCTCAATTCAACAGTTTTACTTTAAAAAGTGTTTCTACTTCTGACCTTCCTGCTAGATCGATTTATTACTTAAATCTCTAAAAATCTGAAACTTTTATCACTGAAGAACTCCATGGTTGCCACAATTAGCAACAAATAATTTTTTCTATCGAATTCCCTGTCATAACATTAAAGACACATATGAAAACATGCATAAAAAGTACAAAACTATATAGATATTCATTTCATTCCCCGAAAGACAATTCCTCTAATTACACTTTCGATCCAACGAGTTTCCAACGAATAGATTTCACTACAAACGCGAGCAGCAGAAGTGAAGTAAAAAGAGGAAATCCGGTTGCTTATTTACATAACAGCTATCAGTAGAAACTCGTAACTTCCATAAGGAAACAACACACAACGGTGTATCCCGGCGAGAAAAGTTTTCTAAAACGTTCGTTTAATTTCGCGTTGGACGGTGTTAAGCGGCTAATTAAAAAGAATTGTCTCAACTAGCGCAAGAAGTTTTCGGGCGTCTCACGCATAATCGCCGCAAAGAACGAGTGCGCTGTCTGTCCGCGTGTAACCGCGTAGACGTTCGCCCGAAAAAGTCGTTGGCTGAGCCGCATATAAATATTTCGCAAACGGACGGTCGCTATAAAAGTCCGTATCAGAGCGTGGCTCTCGTGACACTCGTCAACAGTGAACCATCTAAGGACACGCTGTAGTTAACAGCCGCGAGTTCTCGACTGCGCGGAACTTCTCGGAAATATAAAACGCGTTCCGCGATAAGAGGAACGGGCGACACAGTTAGGTGACGAGGAAGAACAATTAATAGCCACTAGTAAAAGTTAGTCAGCCTGCAAGAGCGCGAGCGCTACAAATTATGCTCCGCGCGTTTGTTCATTCGACTTACGCCCCGCACTGATATAATTTATATGCGATGCAACGTGCACCGAATTGTATCGCTCGCGAGAGAGACTTCAGCCTCGGATAATAATGCTAATTACTACTTCGAGCAATATTTCGAGAACGTGAACGTTGCGGGGCCAGAGTATCATTACCTTAAAATCGGTCGCTGCCGTCAAACCGCGCCAAAACTAAAGCACGATTCACACTAACGATCGAGTATACGAGCGTATCACGATCAGTCGCGATCAAGGATTTTATTGGGACATTCTTGTTCAACGATTAAATCCCGACCATGTAGGGTAACGGTACCTAATATGGAACATGTGGTTTGAAAAGCTTGCCAATATGCGAGACATGGATTTCTTCAATGAAACTCATTTTTATCACGAGAAATTAATGTTTATGGAATTAATCCTCTACAGGTCCGTGTAACTTTGAAATCACATGCCAATGTATTGGCATCTTGTCCATTTATTTCACTTTGCGTAGCAAAGTGGCGGATAAAATTAAATAATTAATTAACTTAAACTTTTATACGCTTAGGCGTGAAAGTTCAACATCATTGTAGTTTCAAAATTATAAGGTATATTCATTTTAATACAATTCTTAAAAGTATTAAATACATCGTTAATTTGCACTTACAGGTTGATATTTATTAATTTTATACTATATACATTTTTTTATAGTCACAAACAAAAATTCGGCATATAGATGGTTAAAAAGGAGAAGTAAACGAATTTTCCACTTTTTTGAACTTATATTATGTTAATTTTTTTCTTCTTTTCTTTTATATGTTGAATGTATGAATAACATATCAGGACCACTGCATTTTTCGTGAACACAATGCACTGGACATATTTTTCCATTACTATCATTTTCGTAATTGCCACCATAAAATAAAAATATAAAAATAACGTGTAATATTAACAGATAATATGCACACAATATGTAATATGTTCCATATTAGGAACCGATAGTAAAATAATAACTATTCTAAGAAGAAAATTAATTTGCAGCAAATTTCTTTTGAATAATGAAAAACAAATATGTTCAATGATAAATGATGAAAAAAATAAAATTTTTCGACCTATTTCTCATGGAAATTAACAATTCAAGCTATTTATGTTTCGAAATATTTTGATATTCCATATTACGAGCTGTTTTCTAGATGGAAGCTTTGAAAGATTATGTTAATTCTGGATGACTAGGAAATAGTAACTAAAAAGGATTAACACTAAATCAACCGCACCCGTCAAAATGACGAGTTTCAATCCTCTTATTTTGCAACTATTGATATCTCAAAAACGTTAAATATCCAAGATGACTTAAAAAATAAATAGTTTCACTTCAATACTATATTCAATACATGGAGAAACCGAAAAAGATCTATTGTTAGAATTTCTATAAGGATTACATATTAATCCTGTTAAATCCCATTAATCATGTTAAATTTTCGGTTGTTCTAGTGTTAAAAATACCAACAGTAATTAATGAAATCTGGGATATAATTCATAAACTCACCTGTGACAATTGTGACTGAAATTATTGTAACTAGAGAGCGTGATTAGTGACCCGCATCCAATGCCGAGAGAATAAAACACTTGAGAGGCAGCATCCGCCCACACATTAGCTTTCTCCAGTGTTGACCAACGGGGAGTGATGAACCAGATACCACCCTCCTTGGCACCCTCTAGAGTGACACCTGTATCAAGGTTTTATTTAGAGCCCATTCAGACCACCGCGGGGTTCTTGAATAGTTCTTTGCTGAAGTTTGAATAGGGGTACGTGTTGCTTCAATGATTCAAGTCACTTAAGTCTTTTGAACTGCGGCTGGCAAAAATGATTGAAGTACTTTTCGTTCGAGTACTTTTATATTTATATAACAAGATATAATTAACAGTTGATAATTTTGTTAAGAATAGTTATTTTGTACATAAAACCACAAAATATTGGCTAAATGTAAAGAAAAATTTCATTCTAATTTTAATATAATAATGTGGAAAATATCTCTCGAACTACAGCAGATTTACCTAATAACTTGGATTACAATAGGATTCCTATTTATTAGGAAAATTTGTTCTAGTTTGAGGTGTATTTTCAAACGTTGTTTACTTTTCTATGTAAGAGAGTTTTTAACTTTTAAAGGCTAATACATATACAATGTAGAAATATATTATAAAGGAACCATTTCTGTCGTTAATAAAAACCATACCTGCAAGTAAATTTGAGAGATCCTTTCTCATGAAAAATTGAAGCATCAGATTTAAAATATTAAAAAGTGTAACAATCAAACACTCTATTTCTTATCATGATAAATCTCAAATAAAAAAATCAGATACATAAATGCTGTTATCCTTAATTCTTGAGAAATTCGATTTTTAAGGTAAAGTCAAATGTGTCACTTTAAATATTTTCTATGTATTAACTGTAATATGTTAAATATAAAGATTATTTAAAAGCTTTTTCATAGACAATAATTATATAGACCTTCGAAAAATATTTTAAATATTTAAACAAGTTAAAACAAATGTTAAAATAAGTAAGATACCCTTCACACTAACTTTTTACAATATCCTGTACCTCATTGTGAAAACAAAAAATGTATAAAAACCATTAAGAGAAAATACAATACACAAATCTTATTTTCAATTTTAAAAAATCAAATACTTTCCCTGCTATTAAAAACCGTGTAACAATCGAAAATTCTATTATTTATACTAATTCCTTTCGTACATTAAAAATCTATATATGGGAATTCTGTGAAACCTATTACACATTGAAAAAATACGTATAAATTAAAATTTTGTGAAATACAAATTTTTGTGTATGAAGGAGACTTTAATTTCTTTTCATCTATTAACACTAACCGTACTGGGAACCGGTCAAATGACCGGATTTCAAATTCTGCGTTTCCTTCTGTTTATTTAATTTTATATCAATTTCTATATTGTCCGATTAATTAATTTTTCAATTTTCATCCTTCCTCTTGTTTATGTTTCCATTAAAAAAATAATATATCATCTAATTTGTTTATCTCTATTTTGTAGCCAGTTATTTGACTAGTTACGTTATAGTTAGTGTTAAATATGATCCTAATTACGTGCTCCTTGTCTAGAGAATCAAAAACAATGTTTGATTGTTGAAAAGTCAATTACGCGATAAGTGAGGACCAATTCATATCTAATACGTGATATCGAAATATTCTTGAGACCCTATACAATAATGCACTCAATTGGAACGAGATCTTTCTGCTAACTCAAACGTTTCACGGAGAATAGGACGATACGGGTGGATAATCCTGATTTTCAGACTGCTCGCTTCACCGAGCGCCCATTGATGAACTTTATTTTTCAAGTGACCATATTGAGAGAAATCAGGAAGTCCTAAAGTTCAATGAATCCGTTGGAAAGTTACGAATCAAAGCAATTTGACAATTGAAAGCTGAAATACTCAGTTCCACGGAAAATCTTACTCTGGGTAAAACTCAGTTCCATTAATTATATACAAGTTTTACAGATGGTAATCTGACAAGTATCTTTCCTACATCGAATAAAAGAAATTAATTTTACTTTCTCAGAGGCTCACGAAACGGAAGTTGAAACAAAAACTTTATTAATTTTTTATTTCTCTTTAACACTAGAACTAGCGTACCAGTAAAAATGACTAGTTTCGTTTTTTTTTGTTTCGCAATTATTGATATGTTGAAAGCATTGAATATTCGAAATAATTTTGATAATCAATAGTATAACTTGAATACTATAATGAATGTCTGAAGAAACCGAAAATAATGTTTTGATACAATTTTTATAAGAATCACATATGAATCGTATTAAATGCTCGGACATTCTGGTGTTGATATGCTTTGTGCTTTAATATTTCTGTAAATACACAAAATCCCCAATCTAAATATAATAAACCGAGAAAATTAAAAATAATTTTATATTTTATGATTATCTTGTATCATGTGTAAATCCGTGAAACAGAAGAAGAAGAAAATTTAATTGTATCTAATAAAATTTGTGTTTTATACATGCATATAATACTTAAGAAAATAAAATTTTCTTTAAAACTACCAACGAAAATATATTTTACAATTCTCCTGTCTTTTGTCATTTTCTGCATATAACTAGAAATAAATTAGTAAAGTTTATTACTGTTTGAAACGTTATGTAATTTCTATTATAAGCAAAATGTATTCGATTTTTTAATTTTCCTAACATAACTTATATACTTGTATTTATTAGCTGCTATTTAAAACATTTATATATTGTGGGAATGGATGTATTTGAGTACGTGAACAGATATATTGATGAGTGATGAATGTGTGTGCAAATAATGAGCGTGTTTTGAATTAATGTTCAAAGCATTGGAATATTCTAGATTATATTGATTTTCTCTATATGTTAATAATGTTCGCATTTTTTATGAGTCTAGAATATTCCAAATGTATGTGAAGTTAATGCATCGTAATGAAGGAATCAAGAAATAATTATACTGTTTCTAATAAAATCTTCTTTCTCCTAGAATATTTTAAAAAGAATATAAATGTTAACCCCTTCTTCTATAATATCGAGTCAGACTCGTGGTGGAAATTTTTAACCAAATTCGACAAATCTAAATGTTACTTATTTATTTTTCAAATAAACAAAATATTACTTGTCTATTATCAATCTTTAATCTTTAAAGTAAACTCGTAGATACAGAATAAGCATTAAATTCGATCCTTTTGCTATTAAATTATTAACGATAAAGTACTTTTATCAAGCACAGGTTTGAAAGAAATCGTAGGACAAGAGGTTAAGAATACAAAGAAAAAATATATTATTAAAAAGTAAATTATAAATTTACTTTAATAAGTAAAATAATTTTAAAAAAAGTAAATAACATGGAAAGTTTAAATTACATGTTATGAAATCCCTACTATATGCGTCCGTATAATTACAAGAGGCTTCGACAGAATTATACGCATGAGTTGAATATTTCTTTACACTTACAAAACCTGGTAGTACGTGAAAGCATTTCACCGCAGACACGTAATGAATTTCGTTCACGTATAATACCTTTCAATTGCGAAACCGCAGGTTAGCGCATTTCAAAGTAAACCAGGAGTCAAATTAATTGGATTTCTGTATAAATAATGTTGGACAACAAATGCAAGGGGTATATATAACATTAGCCATGAAAATATGATGATTTTTATACTAACTGATCAAGTTAATAAACCAGAACTAAATATATAAATGAAAATTTTATATTTTCACGTGACAAACAGTGAAATTTTCATTTCGATTTTGTATACTGTACTTTTTACTTTGTGCGCAAACATGTGATTTATTTATCACAGTCAGAACAGGCGGTTAACAAACACACAATCAACAGACCATAATATTTGTATAAATGTAATTTAGGCGTTTGAATATTGCTTCCGTCCTTTTCTCATTCATTCACCATCATTATTACTAATTTCGTTCCAAAATAACACAATATTTTGGTTCGAAATAGCAATTCAATCGTTACAACCAGTATTAAGATTTTGTTTGATTCTTCGTTAAAAAAAACTTATTTTAAAATGAAATTCATTTAATTGAGTTTTAATCATTTTAGTATGAAACTAAAACTAAAAATTTTTATTGGTGAATATTCCAGCTATTATATTAAGGAAAAATGATAAAGCTATGTTCATAAGCTTAGTGTAAACAATTTCAGCCAAAAACAGAAATTTTAATTATACTAATTTCAATTTTTCATAAGCGTCAATAGTCAGGGCCAATATGGTAAATTCGAGAGATGCCTCACTTTTTTAAAACAACGATTATACCACAAATATCATTAATATTTAACAAAAGAAAAAAATATTTATAAAAATAGATATAATTTAAAGTATAATACAACGAATAGTTAACTAGGCCCCTGTGCCAAATTTAATATACCACTAAGAACAATTAAAAACATAGATATTTGATAATCTAAATTTCAAACGGAAAATCAAATTATCATTATAGAACGTAATTTACTTGATTAACACAGCTACAACTTTAATCTAACAAATATGTAAAACACATAAAATAGTATATTCTTGAAGTAACTTTTATTATTATTGCAATTTTTCCATGACTAAAAGATTTTTTATTAGTTCGTGGTACCAAACCGAATCAAAATCATATTTATATTATATACAAAAAATTAAGAACCAATGTAAAATAGTAACAATAGAAATTGTAACAATAGAGTATTTCCATTTTCTTTATACATTCATTACAGTATTCAAGTGAAACTATTTATTTTTAAGATCATTTCAAATATTCAATGCTTTCAAGATATCCATAATGGTGAAACAAAAAAACCGAAACCAGTCATTTTTACTGGTAAGATAGTTCTAGTTTTAATGATAAAATCTTAAAAAATGTAAAAAGTGGAGTTAATTGATTTGGCCAGTGGCTCAATTATTGCTCGACATTGCTTCTTACCTCGTATCAGTAGCGCTATGAGCATGACGTAAGGGAAAAGGGCGGTGAAGTAGACAACCTTTCCGACGGACTGGACACCACGCATCAGGCACAGGTAGCAGATTATCCAGGCTAGGCTGAGACATCCTACCAACTCCCATCTTATGGCTCCGAAATTTTCCCAACTGACTCCGCGCAAGCCCAGGACGTAGTCGCTGTATTCGATCAACGATAATATCCGATCGCGATTACATGTTTTACCTTTCTTCGCGACTTTCTCGCTTATCGTCTAGCGCGCGGATACGGGAAAGCCTGTTTTCGTTATCCGATTAGAGTGCACCCTCGTGTAAAGCGCACGGGAACGAAACAATCGGAGCTCGCATTGAAAATGTACAAATAAGAAAAGACAGAAAGTGTATTTGACTCTTCGTTCGGAATAATTTCTTTAGAATTTGCTAATCTTTAACACTAGAACTACCGGACGAGTCAAATTGATCCACATCAGAATTTTCATTTTGCAAGTATTTAAATTATGATGGCGTGTTTGCAAAAGATTTTTAATTTAATTTGTGTATTTGTACAGATACAAGACTAGGAAACTATTTTAATCTCAAGAAACGTATTGTTCTAATTCTTATAAAAAATTGGAAATATTCGAAATGATCTTGAAAATAAATTGTTTCACTGGAATACTGTAATGAATGTTTGATGAAACTGAAAATAATCTATCATCACAATTTTTATAAAGATTACATGTCAATCGTATTAAATGCTCGGTAGTTATAGTGTTAAGTATAAATGTGCGGTCGTTTAAAGTTTTCCGATATTCTTTAAACTGGAGTGTGAAATTGAAGAAAAGAGAAACAGAACATGATTAAGACAGTAGAAAACAAACAATCACGAAAAAGGTGAAAATTAATTACGATGAGGGATTAGCTTAGAAATATCAAGGCAAAACATATTAAAATATTAATTTTGGAGATTCATACTAGCTTAAACATTACCTACTTAGACGTTAATGTTTTTAATCTCACCGTTGGAAGCTTGTTGGTAGAAAATAATAATTTGTCAAACTTTAACAAATGATATCCAACAGATCATTTACGATTCAGTATGTCATCAGAGAAGATGGGAAATATAAATGTCTCGAAAATAAGGTTTTGGACATAGTCCAATGTTGCAGTTCCTGCATTAGTAGTAAATATTGGTACGCTTTCGTGGGTGTCTTCTGGTTCGACCACAAATGATACCGTTGCATCTAGGACGCTTTTGGGATCTTCTTGGCTGAATAACCGAGAGAAAATGTTTTTCTCGCGCATATTCTAACAACTGATATTTCTTATCAGCATCTAACCTAACCCCTCATCTACGTTTAAGATCAATTCCCACAGATAATCCCTGATGTATATTCCACCTGATAGTATCTAAAATCCAAAACGAGTATGGATATCGTGTAAAGTGAGAAAAGTTAAATAACAATGATTCCCTATCTTTAAAAATTTTCATATGCTTTTTAAATTTATTTTTTCGCATTTGATGTCCTAATTGACTATCCTAATAATTATAGGCAGGTGTGTAAAATAATTTAAGGAAATATTCCCATCTTTCAAGTAGAAAATATCGATTCTTTCCCTATTCATTATTAAATCATGATCTTTTTGAAATATAGTCACGTGTTAATTTTATTAGAACATTGGAAATTGTAGAAATATTTATAAATGTTCGTAAAATAAAATAATATTTTATATTTTATGATGAAATACAATAATATTTCAAAAGAAATGTAGTTCAAACATTTTAACATAACATACCTCGAAAAGTTGTTATTCTTCTTCAACCAAAATTTCAAACAAAATTTTTATGTTTTTCAATATATCCTAAAAACAGCCATCTTATACATTGTACTCTTGCATTGAAAAAACTGTAAAATCTATTCATTTTCTACGTATCCAAATGAGAATACCCCAATAGAAGTACTTTTTGTCGACTTAATTACATAAGTAAGTAAATAATACAGTGAAACCTCAATTATTTAAACCACTGGCACATAATTTCTCATTTGTTCTACTATTTCATTATCAGAATTTACCTTAGTCTCATTTAGTACAAGACAATCAAGGTTCTACTGTACTTGATTATCTGAACCATTTTGGTCTCAATTAGTTGAAATAATCAAAGTTCTACTGTAGAGTAGAACGTCGATTAACCGTGTCGGTATTTTCCGCGATATTACTCCTCAGATATATAGTTGTTCTTGAAGGTAATAATTTTTATTGTTAAACGAAGCTTCGGAACATTCACTCATCCCTCCATTTACGCAGAATATCCGTTCTACAAGAATTGGTTTTACACAAATGAAAATCGCGTAAATAGGGTTTGTCAGTACGAAAGAAAACAAAATATCGAAGAGCAAAGCTGTATAAACTTTAGAAACACATATTTTAGTTTCACATGGTGTAACGAAAAAGATAATAATACTATCATTTCAGAAAACAAAAGCAAATTCTTTTCAGTATCACTAAATTCTGATCGCGTGTGAACAATACCACGTAAATGGTGTTATAATTTACCGCTTAAAATAAAATCTCACGTGAAAAAAGTGCCATACAAATGAAGGACAGGTGTATAGAATCAATTTTACTAACATGTTTCGAAATATTTTTTCTTACATCTTGTATTTCAGTTGTCTATCGTCCAATAATCAAATAATAGAGGTTCCACTGTAATGCTAGGAGATAATTTGTTGGCTAGACTGAAGAATTCAGCTGATTCATCAATTTACATTTTTCCTCGCCTAATTTTCCATTTGTTTTATTCTGTAATTTTTTATATCTTCGACGACTAAATTATTGTTCATCGATACGACCCTGAGGAGCAGCATGATGATTGCGGTATGGGAATTGACTATCCCAAGGTACCCGAGCTGTGCCAACCAAGTTATGATAATACAAAACATACGCATCAAAAAGTACTACCAATAGACCTGCGATCATTGGTACTATAAGGATCGGGTGTTCGATAGTTGCGGCCGTTCCAGTTATTTGGTGTTGGCTCCGTAGTGTCAATGGTTGGAAGCCATACTGGACTAGGGACCTTTCGCGGATCCCAGCACGTGACCAGCGTCCCAACTGGACACTAACCTGAACAGCTAGTAGACTTTTGGAAAGGAGCTGAAGACCTTCCGAGGATCCCGGCGCATGAATAGCGTCCCAACTGGTCCGGCACTAGCCTGGATAGCTAATAGAGCTTTGGAAAGAAGCTCGACGCTACCAACAGAGGAAATACCATTTTGCTTCCGAGTATAGTGCAACCCTGATGAGATGAGAAATTACCCACAAGCGGAAAAGTCAGAGCGGCAGGAGAATTCTTCCACTCACGATATTAGAACCACACCGGTCTTCAATGCATAATTGTTATTAGCCGCGCAGCAGTAACAAATGACAGAAGACTGACACTCAAGACTAAGTGCAACGTAGTGAGATGTAACGATAGAAATCAAAGTTTATAGTGCAGCCAACTTCGTTCTTTATCGTTACATCTCACTCCATCGCGCTCAGTCTTGCTTCCGACTTTTGTTACTGCCGCGCGCCAATAATGACCATACGTCGAAGATCGAGATGGTCTTAACATCGTGAGTGGAAGAATTCTCCTATCGCTCTGACTTTTTCACCCATGGGTAGTCTGCCATCTCGTCGGAGCTGCAGTATATCTGCAGCCAAGGCTCACCTGCGAAGGTCCTCATGAGCGTGGAATTGGAATTAGGCACAATCAGCCGAGACCGAAGCCTTACCAGCGCTGCCTCCCGAAAGTGACGAGTTCCATGGAGATACAGTTCGCCTTTCACGTTAGCCTCTTGGGCCTTAGGCTAAAAAATGCACAGGGGCAAGAGGCGACGTCTACTTGTGGCACTCGACCCGGTAGTTATGGCGTGTCAGTTTCGGCACGTCCTTGTTATTGGCTCAACCACGCCAAAGTGGAGCATGTAGTTGATTCCCCTTGCCCCTGTGCACTTTTAAGCCAAAGGTCGATGGAGCTAACGCGGGAAGAGTATTGTAAAGTGTTAGTAGCACCGAGCTCCTTTGCAAAGCTCTACTAGTTCTCCAGACTAATGTCGGACCAGTTGGGACGCTGCTCACGCGCCGAGTTCCTCAGAGATCCCTAATCCAGCATGCGGGCTTTCAACCACCATCACTACGAAGCCAACACCAATGTCCGACACGGCCGAAGCCATTGGAACCCCGTAGTACTAATTATCGCAGGTGGAATATATTTGATTTCTTATACAAAAAGAAACAGTATCTTCCATATCTAGGTATCTCGTCCATGCCATGACTTGCTTGGTCCAGCTTAGGTACCTTGGAATCGCCAATTCCCATACAATTACCATACAGCCCCTAAGGAATCGACGTTACCAACAGTCTACAGTTCGCCTCTTCCCATCTGGAACCCGCTCTGTCGGCTATCCGGACTGGGGGCAAGAAGAAACATCTACTCGTCACGCTCAGCCTGATTATTATAACGGCTCAGTTTCAGCACGTCTTTGTTACTGACCGCGGAACAAAGAAATTAGGCGGCCAATAACAAGGACGTATCTAAACCGAGCTGCTATAAGAATCGGGCCGAGCGCGGCGAGTGGGTGTCTGTTCTTGCCCCCCAACGCGGATAGTCGACAGAGCGGGTTCAACATGGGAAGAGGCGAACTATACTTCCACGGGACTCGTCATCGCCAGGAAGCTACCGTCAGTTGCTGGGAACCTGGCACTCGTAACATTATAGAAACAGAAACAGTTACTCGGTAGGTCCGCCTAACCCTCTTTTGCAGTTCCGAGAAGTCCAATTGCGTGTCTAGAAACGGCTCTTCGTGTTCTTTGTCACGTAACCCAATTAGCAGGCGTGAAAGCCTCAGCAAATCAGATACCAGAACCGAAAATTCGTATTAGCAAGGCGTGCGCCTTAGAATCTGACCACTCAGACGAGAGTGTCAGGTCCCCAGCAACTGACGGTACATTGGTAAGGCTTCGACTTCCGTTGATTAGGCTTGATTCTAATTACGTCACCCATAGGGCCTTCTGAAGTGAGCCTTAATAGCGGGTACTCGGAAGTAAAACTGTAGTTTCTCTCTGTTGAACAATAGTTAGACGTAATAAATCAAACCTTCTTTTAGTTTACAGCTCTAAACATATTGGGTCTCTATACCGTTCCGCTAGACATTAAAATATCTTCTAACTGTACTAGAATATCCTTTACGATAAATTATAGCATACTTGAAATATTCCTCGGAAGAAAGCACCTGGGTGTAAAGGTCTCGGAGACGTTCGGTGCGGGTACCATTGGAGCAAAAGGTGACATTGCCGCCATCATTGAAACCAAAACTTCTGCAGACCTCAGCGACGTCCATGCAGGTCTTGTTGTAGAATATCGTGTTTGGATCCTTCTTCTGGCACTCTATTTGTTGAAGGCCGCTGTAACAATCTGATCAACGTTACTGCTCCAGCGACGTACACCCAATATCGTTATACCGGTTATACGGTAATTAGAAGGAAACATGGGCGCCTTCGCAAGGTTATCGTTTATTGAAACGGAATAGCTACCATTAAGAGTATACGAGACTTCATAGAACCAAGGGTTCAATTTTACGCGCGATAGTTTGGCTTATGTATCTCCACGTAGACACTTCGTTGCCATTGGCAAGAAACGAAACTAATTACATCGATGTTTCCTCGTTTTACTTGCCATTTAGTTTAGAGGTACTTCGTTGATTATAACTACCGTTTCACTCGGTTATTTTTACACAGTATTATGGTAACACGTAAGCGTAAAAATTGTTTGTTATATATAGTATGACAATTGGAACTTTTATATAAAATAAAGTTGTAGATGTATATTGTTGGGTTATTAGTCCGTAAAATAACTATGGGTGGTGCACTATTTAGTAACACTGCCGGATTAGTAATAATGATTTATTAGAGAATAAACATACTACAATATTCAACTTATATCTTATTGGATACCGCGCACCGGGACGCATCGCGGACGCACACAGAGGCGGGAACACGCGCGAATGTCTTTTGTTTAGCAGAGTGGGTAATTGTTCGATCTTCATTACCAACACTCCTCCTATCGCAATTAGCCACTATAACATTGATTTCCATTCATTACAAATATAAAAATCATTTAATCTATATTCAACATTGATACACATCTCGCGTGTTTTATCTTTGGTAACGACTTTGTAAATATGTCTGCTATCATATACTCGGTATTTAAATATACTACACTTAATATTCCTTTTTCAATTAACTCTCTAGTATAGTGGTGGCTAATATCAATGTGTTTGCTTCGTTTGTGAAACATAGCATTTTTCGACAGTTCAATAGCACTTTGATTGTCACATTGGATTATTATCGGAGATTCTACATATGTTTCAAATTCCATATGTGTGAGTAGTCTCTTCATATACATCACTTCGCGTGAAATTTCTGATAGAGCTGCGTATTCAGCCTCCATCGTTGACAATGCTACGGAAGCCTGTTTCTTTGACTTCCAACTTACTGGTCCGCTGGCTATTAATATTACGTTTCCAGTACACGACTTTCTGTCGTCGATGTCGCCTGCCCAGTCCGAGTCGGTGTAAGCCTGCATCTTCTCGTTGTTCCTCGTGTATCGAATTCCATAATGCTTTGTCCCATTTAGGTATCTTAAGACTCGCTTGGCTATATCCCAATGTGCTTTTCCTGGATCTGAAACAAATCTACTTAATATACTAACCGCAAATGCAAGATCTGGTCTCGTTGCGTTTGCTAAGTAAATCAATCCTCCAATGAGTTCACGGTATGGCCTCTTCTTCATTTCCATCCTTTCTTCGTCATTAGACGGTCCCATTTCTTTTGATATTTTGATATTTGCTTCTATAGGTGTCGATACGGTCTTTGCATTTTGCATATTAAATTTGCAGATCAACTCTTCGATATATCTTTCTTGTGAAAGTTTCATGCTTCCTAGTTTTCCGTTTCTTTCAATTTTGATTCCCAATATTTCGCTAATGGGTCCTAAATCAGTCATTTCAAATTTTGACTTTAGTATACGTTTGACCTCATTTAACTTTTCTATATTCCTTCCAGCTAAAATGATATCGTCCACGTATATGATCATTACTACAATGTCCTTATTCTTTCCAAAAACATAAACGCACGGGTCAGCTTCTGTTCGTCGTGCTCCTTGCGCTGTAATGTATGCATCAATCTTTTTGTACCATTCACGACCGCTTTGCTTCAACCCATACAACGGTTTAATTAACTTGCATACTTTGTCTTTTTCGCCATTTCTTTCAAATAATTTTGATTGTTCCATATAAATTTCGTCGTTTAGATCACCTTGTACATAGGCCGATATTACGTCCATGTGATGTACATACATTTCACAGTCCACTGCTACTGCCAACAGTGTTCATATAATTTCGTATCGTGCAACTGGTGCAAATACTTCTTCATAGTCTATTCCCTTTTGTTGGGTGTGACCACGGGCAACTAGTCTCGCTTTATATTTATTTAGTGTGCCATCTTCATGATATTTAGTTTTAAAAACCCATCTGTTGGTTAATACCTTTCTGTTTTCGGGTCTTGGCACCAGTGACCATGTTTTATTTTTCATTAGGGTATCGTATTCAGTTATCATTGCTTTTAGTCATAGCTCTGAATCTTCTCGATTCATAGCTTCTTCAACGTTGGTCGGTTCTGAGGATGATGTTTCCTTTTGCTGAAATATCTTCCTGGGTCTACCTCTTTTCCCAGTTCTCATTAATTTTGGTCTTCCTCTTCCACGCTGAACTTAACTGTTCAGATTCTGATTCCTGCAACATCTCATTTTCATTTTGTATTTCATCCGTATAGCTATTATTTTCTTCACATATTTCCTCCAAAAGTAATTCGCCTATTTTATACTCTTCTGTATTTGCAATTGTTTGCTGATCTTCAACGAAACGCACGTCTCTTCTTTCGTAGATCGTCTGGGTTCCTCGATCCCACAAGCGATAGGCTTTCGCTTCATTCGAGTATCCAACTAATATATACTCTTTACCTTTTGGATCGAATTTATTCCTTATTCTTGCACCTTTCTCTAATGCAATGACCTTGCTTCCTATTTTTCTGAGAAAGCCAATAAAAGGTTTTTCATAGGTCCATTCCTCATATGGAGTGACATCTTTGTTCGCTTTGGTTGGGCAACGATTCTTCAAGAATACTGATGTGTTTATGGCTTCGGCCCAAAGAGATGTTGGAAGCTTACCTTGTAGGAGCATACAGCGTGCCATTTCCACCAAAGTACGATTTGCCCGCTCAGCAATCCCATTTTGCTGTGGTGTGTATGCTGTTGATAATTGACGTGTTATGCCACATCCTTTTAGAAATTCATTGAACTCATGAGATAGGTACTCCTTCGCATTATCAGTCCTAAGCTTCTTTATTCTGCAGCCAGTAGAATTTTCTGCATAAGCTTTATATTCTTTAAATGCTTGGAAGACATCTGATTTGTTTTTTAGTGTTTTTATATATATGTATCGACTCTTGTCATCGATGAACGTGACAAAGTATTTAGCTCCCCCAAGTGACTGTACACTAAATGGACCACAAATGTCACTATGCACAAGCTCTAATTTTTCCTTTGCTCTGTGCTGAGAAGTACTGAATGGGAGTTGGTGTATCTTGCACTTGTCACATACTTCACAATTTGGATTTTGTTTTTCATAACTATCATTTATCCCAATTGCCATCTGCTTACTCTTTAGATTTCGTACATCATTGAAATTTAAGTGTCCTAGTCTTTCATGCCACTTGACTAACTTATCTTCATGCTTCTGAAGCATTGCCTTTTGTCGCATTGCTTCTTCAACTACATATAATCCATCTTTTTGTTTGGCTACCATTGCTACTGTACCTTCCTTGCGTAATACCTTGGCACCATATTTATCAAAAATCACAGTAAATCCATGCCGAACTATTTGCGAGACAGAGAGAAGATTACTTTTGAACGAAAGGGCTAACATGGTTTCTCCCAATGTCACATCGTTCAATTTTCTATCTGTAATCTTTACGGATAAGTTTACTCGTCCTATGCCAACTGACTCTACACTCTCATTAGTAGCTGTATATATTTTATCATTATTGTTTATTAGGCCTACAAATTTTCTTTCCTGATTCGTTATATGTTTTGTAGCACCACTGTCCAATATCCATGTGTTAGCTTCTATATGGTGATTTTGATATGCTATTGCAGTCATCGCTTCTCTTTTTCTGTCAAATTTATCTTCATGAATCGCTTCTCTTTTTCTGTCAAATTTGTCTTCATGAATCGCTTCTCTTTTTCTGTCAAATTTATCTTCATGAATCGCTTCTCTTTTTCTGTCAAATTTATCTTCATGAATCGCTTCTCTTTTTCTGTCAAATTTATCTTCATTCTTGAAGCGACAGTTCCTTGCCATATGTCCATGTTTCTTGCAAATATGGCAAATTCCATTGAACCTTTTCGATTTAACTTGTACAGCTTGGTATTTTTCAAATTTCTTCTTTGATATCAACGCATTTTGTTGGCTAGGTTCCTCACATGTGTTTCCAGCTTCAGTTCTTCTGATTTCTTCCTCCAACAGTTTTACTTTTAGTTCTTCCATCGTTGGCATCTTTTCCCTTGATTAAATAGCTACACAGAAATTTTCATACTGACTAGGTAATGATGTAAGCAGCATAATCGGTAATACCGTCTCTGGTAATTTGATTCCTGAGTCCTCGAGTTGTTCTATCTTTTGGACAAATTCGTCGACGTATTGAGCCATGCTTTGGTTTGCACTCTTTTTCATTTTGTACAATTGTTTGTACAATACACATTGTCTAACTGGTCCTTTTGACTCATGAACACCTTTAAGGGTTTCCCAAGCTTGCCTAGAGGTTTCAACTCGTTTTACGTGGTTATACTGGCCTTTGTCTAAACTCAGTATAATTAAGTCGAGAGCTTTTTCGTCCTTTACTGTCCATCTATCTGCATTTTCTTCCGTTTTTGTATTCGTTTCGCTCACATATCCCCATAACTCGTTGTATCGTAACATACTTCTTATTTGTACTCTCCACAATTCATAATTATCGTTTGTGAGCTTTTCTATATTTTGAATATTCGAAAGAGCCATTTTTTCTATACACTCTTTTAGCACGTGGCTTCTTAACCTCACTGCTCTTTAGCACGTGGCTACTTAACCTCACTTTCCTTTTTGCTATTTTACGGTTATTCACAACGCCCTGGGCCCATAACCTGTTGGGTTATTAGTCCGTAAAATAACTATGGGTGGTGCACTATTTAGTAACACTACCGGATTAGTGATAATGATTTATTAGAGAATAAACATACTACAATATTCAACTTATATCTTATTGGATACCGCGCACCGGGACGCATCGCGGACGCACACAGGGGCGAGAACACGCGCGAAT